GCAGTTCCGTAAGGCGATGATTGACGACTGGGTGCACCAGCTGGGTCAATCTGGCATCCAATTCAAGCCACATAACCCGATTACAGAATACCTGTCCAACGCTGATGAGCGCCTGACTTGGCAAGAGCATTCTCTCCCAGTCGATGACCTTTGCACCGAAAATGCCATCGTCTTGAAACGCTTCAACAGATACCCCCTGATTGTCGACCCCTCTGGTCGTGTCACGGAATTTTTGCAGAAGGAGAGCAATGACCGCAAGCTCACTGTCACTAGCTTCTTGGATGATTCCTTTGTCAAGCAACTCGAGAGCGCCCTGCGTTTCGGAAACCCTATCCTCATCCAAGATGCGGAGCATCTGGACCCGATTCTCAACCATGTTCTCAACAAGGAATACCAGAAGACTGGTGGACGTGTTCTCATTCAACTTGGAAAGCAAGAAATCGACTTCTCGCCATCGTTCAAACTGTTCCTTTCCACCAGAGATCCGTCTGCTACATTCCCCCCTGATGTTTGCAGTAGGACAACCTTTGTCAACTTCACGGTCACACAGAGCAGCTTGCAGACTCAATCATTGAATGACGTTCTGAAGTTCGAGCGACCGGATGTGGATGAGCGTCGTAACAACCTTGTCAAGATGCAAGGTGAATTCAAGGTTCACCTACGTCAACTTGAGAAGCGTTTGTTGCAGGCATTGAACGAGTCTCGTGGAAACATCCTCGACGATGACAATGTCATCGAGACTCTAGAGACTCTCAAGAAGGAGGCCGCGGAAATCTCCAAGAAGATGTCCGAGACCGAAGGCGTGATGTCCGAGGTGGAGAGTGTCACCAACCAATACAGCATCATTGCCCGAGCCTGCAGTGCTGTCTTTGCGGTTCTGGAGCAGCTTCACCACATCAACCACTTCTACCAGTTCTCTCTCCAATACTTCGTGGACATCTTCAACTCTGTTCTCTACCAGAACAAACGTCTTGCACAGGAGAAGGACCACTCTGCACGCGTGCAGATAATCATCCGAGACCTCTTCATTACTACGTACCAACGCACATCCTCGGTCTCGTCCAGAAAGACCGCATCACGCTGGCAATTCTTCTTGCTCAGGCCACACCATTCCCAATGGACAGGACTATCCTCGATCGCATTTTGGACGAATCTGTTGAAGACGCCGATCTCTCAAGCACTGGTATCACGCGTGACGAAGTGATGGGCAGGTTGAACAACATGTCTCTATTCAAGGAACAAATTGCCAATGTTACTGAAGAGCAATGGGATCGCTTCTTTACCGAAGAGCTTGCAGAGAATGCCGTCCCAGTAATCTGGGATGAAGGCACATCACACCTTGACCAGCTCCTTCGATCCTTGTTGCTTGTCAAGCTTTGCCGGATGGACCGCTTTGTTCCTACCGCTGAGCGCTTTATCGAGGCTGTGTTTGGCCGTGAGCTATTCGAGGGCAGCGGTGACTTGCAGGATATCGTCAACCAAGTCACAGCTACTACCCCAATTTCCCTCAGCTCCAGCCCTGGTTTCGATGCCAGTTACAAGGTCGATGCCCTGGTGCAACGGACCAACGCAACATGTGCCAACATTGCCATGGGTTCGAATGAAGGTCTCGAGAGCGCCGACAAGGCTATCAGCAACGCTGCCGCAACCGGTAACTGGGTTCTTGTCAAGAACGTTCACCTCGCTCCTTCTTGGCTTCAGAGTCTCGAAAAGAGACTGGATTCGCTCAAGCCTCACAAGGAATTCCGTCTCTTCCTTTCCATGGAATCTAGTCCTAAGATCCCTGTCAATCTGATCCGTGCCTCGCGCGTCTTGATGTTCGAGCAGCCTGCTGGTGTGCGCGCCAATATGAAGGACTCCCTGTCTTCCCTGTCCGATCGTGCCAACAAGGCTCCTGTCGAGAAGGCTCGTGTTTACATCTTGCTCTGCTTCCTCCACGCCGTGGTCCAAGAACGCCTCCGCTACGCGCCCAACCTGGGATGGAAGGGCTTCTGGGAATTCAATGACAGCGACGTGAGTAACAACCCTTTGATCTACTTTTCTCTTCTTTTTACGGGATGCTAACTTCCTAATTCAATAGTACGAATGCTCTGCCTTTATCATTGACCACTGGGTCGACACTGTCGCCCAAGGCCGTTCTAACGTTGCCCCCAACAAACTTCCCTGGGAGATGATTCGCACACTCATTGGGGAGATGTACGGCGGCAAGATCGATGATGCTGGTGACTACCAACAGCTCGAGGGCCTGGTGAACAACTTTATTACCGCAGCCGCGTTCGAGGACGAGTACAAGCTAGTCTCTGGCGTCGAAAAGGACCATCTTCTGGTTCTGCCCAGTAGCACCAGTATGCGTGATTTCAATGTCTGGGTCAACAATCTGCCCGAGCGTGAGCCGCCCACTTACCTGGGTCTCCCTGCCAATGCCGAGAAGTTGTTGTTGGTTGGCCATGGCCGTAAGATGATTGGAGATTTGTCTCGGGTTACCACTCTTCTGGACGAGGGCGAGCAGCTGATGGTTGATAATTAACCATTCTGATTTCGTTCCTTTCCTCTTCATTCCTTCCCTTTTTCTTTGCTTCGTTGGTTTTTGTTTGTTTTCCTGTTTTTCAACGGGTGGAGTTTGAGGTGAACCACCTCTAGACTATGGTTTCGTGGGAGATTGCATGCACTCTATACCCCAAAGACCGCTGGCGGATGCTTTTCTTACTTCTTATTTCTGTTGTTAAATTTAGATGTATTTTATCGTGAATGCTGTTTGTACAGAGATTCTACCCTAGAAACCCTCAAGGCTATGCCCTTGCCGCATAATAATTTCTCTTTAACACATTACTTTGGCCGTACTATCATCCATGTCTGTCTTGCCTCAAGCGGATGGACGAGTCTACGAGTGGGAGAAGTGAATCGTAAAGTAGAGTAATTTAGTTAATAGCATTAAGTATCCAGTGTACAATCTGTGGAATGTGTGGTTCGCGCGGGAGCCAATCTCGACTGCCCTCAGTGTAATGTAGAATAACTCGAACAAAAACGCCAACAAGTCCCAGTATTGGGTGATGTTCCTATGTACGTAGGTCGTGAATAGAGACTGCCATTATCGGATTTAGGAGATGAAGGTCGACTCTGAGAAGAGGAAGCCCTCCTCAACGGTCTCGACGCCGCCGATGTTGAGCTTGAGGGAAAGCTTCTCCTTGGGAGAGTACTGAGAGTGGGAATTAGGATGGGTTGAAATTAACGAACCATGAAGGGCGGGAAAAGAGAAGCATACCTGGAAAATATACGGGCGGGTACCAGCGACACTGCCAGCGATGGTCTTGATGAAACCGGGGACTTCACCCATAACATCGACACGGTCCAGGCGCTTGCCCAGAGGACCATCGACCTCGGCGGTGACGTCTTGGCCATCGGCAGACTTGCCGGACCACTCCCACTTGATGGAGGTGGGCTCGGGCCACTCGCTCTCGGGGTCCTGCTCGGTATTGGTGTGAGTAACCTTGTTGTCAGTGCCAGCGTAGATGATCTCGCCATCCTTGAGGATACCGCCGACGGTGACCTTGGTCGAGCCGTAGGATGGGGGAGTGGTGAACTCCATCATGATAGCGGAGAAGGTGGGGGTCTGGAAGTTCAGGAAGTTCCAGCGGGCGGCTATGATGTGTTAGCTTGTGTCGGCTTTTCTGTGCAAAAATCTGTATTGTTCATACCAGCGTGGTGAGGCTTCATGCCCTGAAGAGCGGGGATGAAAACACCGCGGCCTGCCAGGTCGTAGGTCTTCGCCTTGGTGGTAATAGTGCCCTCGACGGCACAACGAGCCCAGAAGGAGTGGGTCATAGAGCCCCAGGGGTTCTTAGGGTCGGTTCCAAAGTAGGAAGTGCCGTTCTTGCCAGCAGCGAAGCCGGGGGCTTTGCGGGTGATCTTGAGGTCAACAACGCTATCCGGGTTGACAGTGGACTTGATGGAGTAAGAGTCACCCTCCTCGTTGAGAGTGATGGCCAGGTTGTCGGCAGCGAAAGAAAGCATCTTCTCGTCGAAGATGATGTTGGAGAGAGGGTTCGTGTTCCAGATGTGCTCGCCGTCGCCTTGGAGGTTGAAGATCTTCGTGTTGAAGTGAGCGGTAGTATGAATGCCCCTACACAGTTCGGAGGATAGCGCAAGCAGTTAGTTATGTCCTGGGAATGATATATAGAGCCAAGGGCCCGTTGACAGCGGTGGAAATGCATCCGATCAACTTACGCAATGTTGCTGTAGATCAGCTGGACCATAACCAATGTGCCTTCGTCGGCGATGATGTAGAAGGTCTGGGTCTCGACATTGGTGTATTGGTAGGCCTTCCAGCGCAGGTCATCCTTGGTCAGGACAGTGTGGGAGGTCTCCTGAGCCTGCTGGGCGACAGACTGGATGGCATCAGGGCCATAGATGGGTTCTTGCGTACCCACGGCCGCCGAAAGACTGCCCGCATTGATCATTAGTTGCCCCACCACATCGAGAAGTACGGAAGAATGTGAACATACGTTGACTTGAGCCAGTTCATTGTGAAGGAAGGTCGGAGATAAAAACAAATCAATAAGGATGTAGCGACCAGGAAGAAAAAAAAGAGGAGAGGGAAAGGGGAGGTGAGGGAGAAGGGAGATCGACACGCGGGGCCCAGAGTTTAGCTCGGATGCGAATGGGACGAGGAGCCGCCGAGTGAGGTGAGAAACAGGAATTTGAGCCTGAATCGGACCAACGATATCCTTTAATGGAAGAATAGTCACAGGATAATAGATAGAAGAACAAAATAAAGAATTTCAGTTAGTTTTCTTGAATTATTAGATCTAAATCCACGAGAGAAAAGGGAAAAGGACAGAAAGAGAAGCGCGATGACGGCGCTTGCAAGCTCGCTTGGTGGGTTCTCGGCCAATCAGCGCGCGGTTAGGAAAATCTTCCGTCTTCAGCCAAACTCGGCGGTCTTCTTCTTCTCCGCTTGGTTTAGCAACTCTCGACCATCATCCCCTTCATTCCTTTCCACAATGGCCAGAAACGTGTTATCCAAGGATCAGTTTGTCAAGCTCATCGTCGGGGCTGGTCAAGCCAGTCCCAGTCCCCCCGTCGGTCCGGCCCTGGGTAGTAAGGGTGTTAAGAGTATGGACTTTTGCAAGGTGAGCCACCACCCCCCTCCGCCTCGAGCATTGATGCTCCTGGACAGGATGACCGGAATTGGGGTAACTAATAAGATGGATTGCTTTAGGAATTCAATGCACGCACTGCCCACATCAATGTCGGCGTCCCTATCCCCGCGCGCGTCACCGTCCGCCCCGACCGATCCTTTGCCTTTGATCTGCGCACTCCGACTACCACCTACCTCTTGCTCAACGCCGCCTTGTCGAACCCCGAAAGAACCGTCTCCGTGGTTCCATGCGTCCCGGCCACGAGAGCTGTGGCACGATCTCCCTGAAGCACGTCTATGAGATTGCCCAGATCAAGCACACCGAAACCCGGTTGTCGGGACTGAGCCTCCAAGGCCTGTGCAAGAGTGTCATCTCGCAGGCCAAGTCGATTGGCATCAAAGTTGTCCCGTGATCGTAAAGTGATGGCATCTTGTGTTAGGCGCGGGATTGAGTTCGACTTGTAACACCACAAACATCGTTTCACGATTCGGCTGGCACCAGTCTGTCTGCGCGGCGACATTGTGCAGATCGGATTCGGCCATATCTGACTGTGTCTTTCTTCTTTCTTTCTCTTTTATGGTCTTTCTGGCGTTCTCATCTCGGGGAGGAATGGACATGCTCCCTGCTGTATTATATACCTGATCATTTGATGCATGCGACTCGAGCGATGTATGCATATAACAATGGAACATCTGGCACGGCCAGTCATATTATCAATTCTTGAATGTAGGCAGGAACTGTAGGTTATAAGTCAATAAAGTGATTCTTCATGGCGCCTACTTCGAGATGGATAAAGGAGTACATCTCTACAGTTAAACGCCATTTACTACTAGTTCCAAGCTTGATAACTTTGAGATCTTCCCGAGTCAGCACTCTCATTATGTCTAGCTATCCATGGGGCATGTTATTCTATGAGCAAGCATTAGTACAGTACCTACTAGTACTAGTAGATAACCGATTGAACGAGATTTCTTCCAACCTCAATTGAAAGGCGTTTGAACTTGAAGCGCATACGTATCAACAAGCTATACCGGAATACCGATCGGCCTCAACTTTTTTTCTTCTCCTTCCAGGCTGTGGTAGAAGCAGTGCTGTACACCCTATGTCCTATTCTCATTAGAGCTTCGGTCACCAGGTGCCCTTGTGGAATATGAGTGTGGCCATGCAACAGGCAGACTGATATAGTCGCTAGTAATCTAAACATCTGTGCTTGACACTGTGGCTGACGAATGCGTCGTCCTGAACCAGCTACCCCGGACCCAGAAACAGTAAGAAACTGGCTCGGCGGGGATCAGAGTCCACGGGCAGGGATGTGAGTCGTGATTCAACGGGGAACTAGTTACGCAGTGCTACATCTACATTAGGTTGATAATATGCATAGCTGGGTACTATGACACACCGTGGACTGTAGTGGTGCAGATACAGTAGTGATGGACATAGGGAGTTAGCGCGGATGCATGTCCGGCGCTGTGTGACCAGCCCGGGCGGCACATGGCCATCTTCCGATCGAAGGACAAATAAGTTACAAATAGTTAGTAGTACTGTAGCAGAGTATGTAATGGAATTGCTGGTGCCGAGTGCCAAGTCAGTTTGATGCCACCCGGTGACTGTAATTGCTGGGCACAGGCGTGTTGTTGAGTACTCTTGGCTGGTAATGAATAATGGTGATGGTGATGGTGATGACGATGATGACTAGACCGATTCCGGTAATCTTCCAGATCACTGGGCGAAGACATCGGCAGCCAGTGGCGGGCGCAGGTGGTCCTGTTCGCGGGAAATCGGCACGGTCATCGAGGTCGACATCATAGGTCCATAGTCTCCGCGGTCTTCCGGGATGTTGGATTCTTTGATCAGGGTATTCTGGATAGGAGCCCACTAGTAACTCATCAGCATGGTGAGTAGATGAGAATGGTGGTATGTATAGTGTGTAGTGGACAGAGTGAAGAGGAGAGTGAAAAAGGGAAGAAGGAAGGTGAAGGGCGAAGTTAATGACCCTCTTGGCGGTTTCCTTGGCTGTTCCCCCAGCTGGTTTTGTATGGAGTAACTAGTATTTATTAGCTAGTACTAGAGGACTAGAGGACTAGAGGACTAGAGGACTAGAGGACTAGAGTAGAGTACTAGTAATTACAGTCATACTTCCTTAGGTCCAGACCCAGAGAACCCCAATCTCTCTTTCTCCCTCCTCTCCAACTACCACCCCTCTTCCCCCTCCTCTCCTCCTCCTCCCTCTCTCTACTCTACCGCTATCTCTTCTTTTCTTCTCCTATTTATCACCTCATTTCCACCTTTGCACATTTCCACTCTCCTCTCCTTCCCTCTCTCCTCGCTGAGATCATCCCGGAGATTCTCGTTGCGGGCTTATCGCACGGATTCGGCGAAACGAAAACTTAGAAAAGATTTGCCTCCACGTAATCAACGGTTTTCACGGCTTTCCATTCTCTCTGCTTCCGGCTTTTCCTCCTCCACCTCGCGACAAAAAAAAAAAAAAGAGAGAGAAGAGAAATCACCTTCAACCTATCTCTCTCCGAAGTTTATATTCCCGAGGGGGCATGCCGTCCCACTAGGTCCCGAATTGTTGGTGTCGAATGAGTATGACGTCTGAACAGGCCCATTCGCCCTCACCCGCCAACCGCAACGCCAACGACATGGATTCAGGTATGTCTTGGTCGGAAAAACATGCCCCTCCTTCCCCCTTCAAAGGCCAAATAAATTCGATGGCCTCTCAAATTCCCATCCCTTCTAACTCCGCATGCTCCAACGCAACAGGCTCGCCCGTGATACACTCCCCCGCCAAGATGCCGGCTCAAGCGGAGACCGGTGACTCCGACGCCAAGTCAAGATCGCAGCCTGGCCAAGTTCGCTTCTCTTCCGTCACGCAGGAGATTGAACCATCTCACTCAGAGGCTACTCCTGAACCGGATCAATTTCCGACCGACACCCGCAAAAAGACTGACGAAGAGGAGCTGCGGTCGCTGGCCATGAGCTTGCAAAGCTCCCAGCTTCAGGAGTCTCGTCTACGCAACAACTTCTCTTTCGAGCCAATGTCGCTTCCTTCCTCGAGGGTACGTTGTCAACCATTCTCTTTTGCCTCGCCCACTCTCCCCGGGATCGTGGAAGCTTTCAAGCTCCGTGGCGAATCCAGCCACGGAGGGAGAGGTTTTCATCAGCATCTCCTGATTTCTACTACCTACGGGCCCATTAACCTGGTAGAAACCCAATTTCAAGGCCAATGATGCTAACCTCCAACCTCTCCTCTAGGTTGCGTCGCGAGAGTCGAGCGATCGGAGTGCTCGAGAGGGCCCTGGCTCCTATGTGACTTCGCCCCATGCTTCTCCCCCCCACCTCCGCTGTACAGTCGCCTCCCTTAACCCCCGCCGTCACCCAATCTCGTGAATCCCGGATTAGTGAAGGCACCGCATCTTTGAATGCTGTCAGCAATGCTAAGGCATCGGCCATCACCCCCGAAACATCACCTCCCGTCTCCTCCAGCGACCAGAATGGCAAACAGCAAAGTGCCCCGTCATCTCGACCCGGGTCCACCGACCGTCTCTCGATGAAACAGAGCGGTGCCTCTGAGCCTACGGGGATCAATACTTCCTTGCCGAAGCACCGCGCCCAGTTTTTCATTGGCAATGATGCCGGTTCGCAAGAGGAGAGCCCCCCTCCGACCCCTCGCGACTCCCATACGCCACCCGGGACCATCACACCGGTAGGCGAACCCGACGATCCATATGCTCGCAGTAAGCGACCTCCGCAATCGAAGAGTCTTGCTCAGCTAGATCCCCGGTTCATCTTTGGGAGTCGTGACTCGAAGCGGACATTTCGTCCGGGACACCACGGTCCGCCAGTGCAAGCGATGTCACCAAGTCTAGCGACAAGAAGGGTATGTTTGGAAGCAGCAAAAAGGACCACGATCAAAAGAGCGGTCATGGCCATGGTCATGGTCATGGTCATGGCCACCACGGCTCAATGTCCGAGCTGAAGCGTTTCTTCAAGATGGGCCACCGTAGCAAACGCCCGGACTCTCCTACGTCTGGCAAACGGTCAAGTCGGTCCTCGGGCAAAAGTACCCCGTATCAAATGGCCCCGGATAATGTTCCTTTCGCCGATGACCATGGGTTGAACTCCAAGTACGGGAAAATGGGTCGGGTTCTTGGTTCTGGAGCGGGTGGCTCGGTCCGACTTTTGAAGCGGAACAGTGATGGTGTCACTTTCGCTGTAAAACAATTCCGGGATCGACACAGCTGGGAAAGTTTGAAAGAGTACTCCAAGAAGGTTACCGCCGAGTTTTGCATTGGTTCCACCTTGCACCATGGGAATATCATCGAAACCCTCGACATCATCCAAGAAGGACAACAGTGGTACGAGGTGATGGAATATGCTCCGTTCGACCTCTTTGCGATCGTCATGACGGGCAAGATGAGCAAGGAGGAGATTGCGTGTTCATTCAAACAGATCCTCAGTGGTGTTGCCTACCTGCATGGAATGGGCCTGGCCCATCGGGATCTCAAGCTGGACAACGTGGTCGTCAACAATCGCGGCATCATGAAGTTGATTGATTTTGGAAGTGCAGTCGTGTTCCGCTACCCCTTTGAGAACGACATTGTTCCGGCCTCGGGCATCGTGGGATCGGATCCTTACCTGGCCCCCGAGGTATATGATGAGAAGAAGTACGATCCGCGCCCCACGGATGTTTGGTCGCTGGCGATCATCTTCTGCTGTATGACTTTGCGTCGCTTCCCGTGGAAGCAGCCGCGCAGCACGGACAACTCTTACCGATTGTTCGTTTCCACTCCCACGCCTGGCACACCGGTTCCCGATATCGATCCTCGACGCCGGCCTAAGTCTAGCCCCGACCTTCCATCTACTGTCCATGAAAACAAACCGCTCGAGCAGAAGCAGCTCCCTCCCACATCAAATGGATCGACCCCTCAGCCACCGGCCAAATTGACTGTCCCTGCGCCGGAGCAGAACGGTACCAAGCCGGACAGCTCGGAGAAGCCTGAGTCGCCAAAGGACAGCGATAGCCCTACCGAGGCCCAGAAGCAGACTAGCCAGTCCAGCACCAAAAACAACAAGCCCACGCGGACCACCAGTAAAGAGGCCCCGCCTCTCCCGCCAGGTGCTCCGCAGCCAGCCCCCAAACAGGAGGTCATTAAGGGCCCCTGGCGACTCCTCCGCATTTTGCCGCGGGAAAGTCGTTTCATTATTGGCCGTATGCTCAAGGTCGACCCGAAAGAGCGAGCGACATTGGATGAAGTCCTCGCCGATGAATGGGTGCGCAACATCTTGACATGTGAACAGGAGGGCACCGGCGAAGTTATTCCTGCTCCAAACCACAAGCACGTTCTGGAGCCCCCTGCCCAGAGCCCCGCGGTTGCTAGTAAAGCCACCAAGGCCAAATAATCTCACCATCTATGTATCAATTTCTTCAACTGTGCATATTTCCCCATTCAACGGCTCAAAGCAGAATGCCGACTTACTCTCTTCTTCGCCCTTTCGCCATGCGGCCTGTCCCATATCAACCAGGTCCATTCTTGGGTGATCCCAGGACACGAATTCCCCGCGAATGGCGTTGACACTTGTGTGACTTTTGTTTCTATTTTGTTCCATATCTCCATTGTCCATATGATATGCCCCCCCTAATTTTGCGCGATCTTAACACTTCCCCACCTGTTTGTCGCGAGTTTTCTTCTCCCGCGGCCGAGTACCTACCACCATGAAGCAGTGTTTTCCAAGGCGTTTTCCCGGAGAGAATCGGGTCTGTTGGTAAAGCAAACTCGCCGGCCCAGCTGTCCAGTATTAGGTTATCATCTCGTTAGATATGTGGCGGGCTGTCCAACACGAGCTCTTTCTGCGAGTCTTTCATGTTCTGGTGGCTGGGCCTTATTGCGTGGGTTCCCCTGTACTTATGGTGTATCCCAATTCAGTAGATACAATTCCCTGAATATAAGAATATAAAGTCTTTATTTTTGAAATTAAAAAAGAGGATGAAAAGCTTTGCAAGGACAATATTGATAGTATTGAATCTGGCGGTTCTCTAGTGATCGGCTTAATAGTCAAAGTCCGGTCCGGCGGTATCGGAATGGTCTGACTGTCGGACTGCTGGATCTGCGTCAATTGCGGAGCTCTCCTCACGAACGGCATTCTTGTGCTTCACCGGGGCACTCCACGAACAACCTTCTCCTCCAATTCTTCCCCTAATACCCCGAGTCCATTGCCAAATACAGCATGCTTGCGCGGTAGACAAACGTCTTCCATACACTCCCACTCCCACTCCCACCTCGCATTATGTCCCAACAAGCCGAGGAACAGGCACCGGCCTCGCTCTGGACGAGGTCCCTCCTTGTAAGACAGCAACCCTTCAATCCCAATTCTGCTCAAGCAAATCACTAACTGAACCCCCCCGAAAAGTCCGGCGCAGTCGCAGGTCTCACAGTTGATTGCTCCCTCTACCCCCCTCGACACCATCAAGACCCGACTCCAAAAAGCACGCGACCACACTGCACCGCAAACTTCCCGACTCACACTACGCCAGACAGTCCGCGGAATCTACGCAGGTCTACCATCCGTCCTCTTCGGCTCAGCCCCCTCCGCCGCATCTTTCTTCATAGTCTACGATGGCGTCAAGCGCTCCCTCCTCCCCTCCACCCCGGACTCCGCACCCGCTTCCCGCACCCATGTCTTCTTCACACACTCAATCGCCTCCTCACTAGGTGAAATCGCTGCCTGCGCCGTGCGCGTTCCGACAGAAGTCGTCAAGCAACGAGCTCAGGCCGGTCTCTTCGGTGGCTCGAGTCGTCTCGCACTAAAGGATATCCTCTCTCTCCGCCACGCACACACCACCTCAACAACCCCAATCCCAGCCGCAGGCACAAATGCCATTATCCCCGGTTCCAGTCCCAGTCCCAGTCCTCAACCCCGCGCCGCGAAGGGCGGATATGGCCAGGTCTTCCGTGAACTGTACCGCGGAGCCGGGATCACGATCGCGCGCGAGATCCCATTCACCGTCCTCCAATTCACCATGTGGGAGACGATGAAGGAGAACTACGCACAGCGATACCTGAGGTTCAAGGACGCTAGCTCGGGGATCGTGAAGCAGGAGCAAATCCCCGCTTCCACCAGTGCGATGTTCGGCAGTGTTGCCGGTGCGATTGCGGCGGGATTGACCACTCCGCTGGACGTGATTAAGACTCGGGTCATGCTTGCCCGACGTGGCGATGGTGGCTTTGACGGGCCGATTCGAGTGAAGGATATTGTTAGGGGAATTGCGCAGGAGGGCTTTGGCGCTTTTTGGAGGGGTATTGGGCCTCGTGTGGCTTGGATTGGAATTGGTGGGGCTGTTTTCTTGGGTAGTTACCAGTGGGCTTGGAATACCCTTGAGGGGAAGAGGCAGGAAAAGGAGGAGCGGGAGGAGAAGTTGTGATTTGGACTGTTGTATAGCTTTGTTGGTTGGACTATTTGTATATTACTACTGCCATATCATAGAGGATCTAGAGTGTATAGACTTGGATTGATAGAAGTGGTTGTTTCTCGAAAGTGGTGTTTGCACTTTCTTTTTCTATCCTTTGAATACTAGTGGGCTCCTTGACCATCTAGTGCAGGCTACACTTGATCCTGCATCAGAAGAGACTGGTTTGATACTCGCCCTCCGCCCTCCGCCCTCCGCCCACCACCCCCCGCATTCCACATTCCATATTCGGGCCCACTACGAACGTCTCCATGTCTGCGTCTGCGTCTGCGTCTGCCGTAGATATCATCAGCATGAATGGTCATAGACACACCCCCACACCCCGCTAATACCGCTATGCATGGGTGGTTTGGGGTCTGTGATGGAAAACCCTGGCGGGGAGCCTGGAGTAAGCAACAAGTAGTTTACTAGCATGGGTGTGTTTGCTGCACGAATCTCGAGATCCACTGTCTAGCCATATATCCTGGATCGAAAAAGTGGATGTTGATCTATTTCTGCAAAGTAGCCGCCTTCGGGGTGGGGGGTGATCAATATAGGGTTATATTGATGGTGATGGTGGTTGGAATACCTCGTTGAGCCCTCTTCCGTCCTCTCGTAGTAACACAAAAAGAGATGATTGTAAGACTAGAAGTAAGCTATTTCAAGATCCTTGGAAGCCTTGGAGTAAAGTAAGAATCCCATGCCAACCCGGGTAATACGACCAGGCACCGGCTGATGCTGCGCTATGGCGTCGCGAACCGAAATGCCCCTGGCGGATCCCCCCAAACTTCGCTTCCCCTCACTAATCTCTGATCTGATCCTGCCGTTCCTTTCCTCCTGCTTCTACTACTGTTATTACTGTCCTAATCTGCTGAACTCTGGAAGTCGTTACTTTTAACCTCTTGTCTATCCTTGTTTTGGGGTAGTGACGTCGCCCCCGGACCAACGTGTGATCGGCCCTCGATTGAGGCACAGATAAGCTGCTCCGCATCTCCTCCGCAATTTCACCCTCACATCCCCAAACTGCATGTATGGCACGGAAACTGAGCCACCAGAGGGTCACCTATGGTGAGTTGGCCATACAAACAGAGGTCCAAGCCTAGACCTTGCAATTCTGACTGATCCTTCCCCTCCAGTGCTTCCTCTCCCCGATGCCCCCGGTGGGCACCGGTTGGGGGTCAATGGCCTAACCGTTGACCGTCAAAACTCCATCCTGTAAGTCATGCTCTAATCGGTTCTAAGCAATGAAGATCTCGAGTCCTCGCCTCGTGGTCACATCCTTTCGCTGTTTCGCTGGGTGTCTGCACCGTCGCCTCGCCTGTGGGTTGCACGACTTGCTAACGTGACCTCTGTTTGCGCCTCCCCAGATATTCCGCTGGTCGTGACGGCGTTATCTGCTCCTGGGATCTCGATTTCCCCCTCAATCCCCTCTCGTCGCAGAATCCCTTCTCGTCCGCCAATCGCAAGCCAGGCCCGACTCGATTCAAGACACAGGTCCAGGCCCACAGCCACTGGATCAACGACATTGTCTTAACTGAGAACAACTCCGCCCTTGTCTCAGCGTCTTCGGATACTACCGTGCGGCTCTGGCGCCCGCACTCCGAGTCCACAGAAGTCCCCGAGCGCATCGGTAAACACGCCGACTATGTGAAGGCCGTAGCAAGTCCCGGCGGGCAGGCCAGCTGGGTCGCCTCCGGTGGTTTGGACCATAAACTCTATCTATGGGATCTGAATGGCGGTGGTGAGGTCCTAAACATAGACGCCGGTGGTGACGATACCACCGAGAAGGGCTCGGTCTACGCCCTGGGTGCCGTGTCCTCAGTGCTCGCCAGTGGTGGACCGGAGAACGTCGTGCGCGTCTGGGATCCTAGGTCTGGCAAGTTGGTTACCAAGTTCGTTGGACACACAGATAACATCCGCGATATTTTAATCAATCAGACCGGAGACACCATCATGACGGCTTCATCGGACCAAACCATCAAGATCTGGTCGCTGACTGCTGGTCGTTGCATGAATACATTGACTATGCATAACGATAGCGTCTGGTCCCTCTATTCCGATCATCCAGATCTTTCGGTGTTTTACTCTAGCGATCGCTCAGGCTTGGTCGCGAAGACCGACACCCGAAATTCCCCAGACCCGGAACAAGGGACATCTGTCGCAGCGTTACAAGAGCACGAGGGTGTCGTGAAGGTCGTGGCAGCTGGTGACTTTATCTGGACTGCCACACCCAAGTCCAGCATCAATCGCTGGCGCAACGTTGACACGGAGCTTGAAATCGAGGCCCAGCCTGACCCAGCGCGTACTATTGAGTCTACAACGGCTGACCCGGAGAAAACACCTGATAAGACGCCGGAGAAGACTCCAGAAGATGGACCAAAGAAGATCCCCTACAACGCCGCCTTGCAGCTGTCCGCTACGTCTTCGATGCTGAGGGGTCTTTCGAATGGACGCTCTGCAGAGAATGGCTTGGAGCCTGATCTTACGATTCCAGTGCATTCACTGCCCGAAGAAAGCATCGAGGGCCAGCATGGTTTGATTAAATGCTTGATGCTGAATGATCGAAAGCGTACCCTCACACAAGATTCAGCCGGAGAAGTGGTGTTGTGGGATTTATTGAAGGTAAGTCCGGCTCTCGGAAGCCGTCAGTGGCAAGAAACTGACCAAATCGAAGTGCGTTCCCGTCCAAGAATTCGGCAAGCGGCATCTTGATGATGTGGCTACCGAGCTCAATACCACAGAAAGTATCTCCCATTGGTGCACAATCGACGTTCGAACCGGCAGGCTGTCTGTCATCCTCGAGCCGAATCGTTGCTTTGATGCTGAAGTATACGCGGACGAGGCCGGGCTTTCGGAAACTGATATGGTAAACTTCAGAGATGATCAAAGGAGTATGTCACCGATAAAGCCATCAATCAGTCAATCCCTCATTCTGGGGCTAACAAATTCTTTAGTCAATCTTGGAAAATGGATTTTGCGTTGGCTTTTTGCCTCCTTGGTTGACGAGGAGGTTCGGCGCGATAGCGAATATCGCGAAAGCGCCGTGGCCAAGGCCGAAGAACTAGCCAAGCTGAACCCAGTATTGAGCACATCTGCACCTGGTGATGATATTCCACGAAGTATCGGAATCCCCATCCATGATCCCTCTTCCACGACTTTGCGGCCTAATATGGACTTCCCCGGAAGCCCCAGCACCACTGGATTCGGGATAAATATCGGCACACCATCATCGGTCAATTACCTCAGCACTTCTATGCAGAGTAACTCTCCATTCCCTGCCTTCGACGCTGAAACCCCTGATGTTCCTGGCTCTTTGCCCGGGAATCCCGACGCCGTACCATCGTCCTTCTCCGATAGATCTGATTACTTCTCTACGAGACCATCTAATCCGCCTCAGTCCGACGATAAGCCGCCCATGTCTCCATCGGAATCGGGAGCACCCCAATCTCCCGCCGAACCGGATAAAGAAGAGCGTAAGAAAGGTGGTTCGCTATTTGGAAAGAAGTTCCGTATGGAGTTTCCAAAAAGAATGGGCCGAACCTCGACGGATGCGAAGCCTCTGATCCCGGAGGAGAAAATTGAGGAGTCTGAGTCTGCCGATGTCAAGGAGGAGAAGACATATGAAGCCAACATCAGTGGCGTTATTGATCGGATTCGTCACGACTATGATGAATTCCTGTCTGCAAACCCTGGCAAGGAATTGGCGACAGCAATCATCCCTAGTCTTGAGACCGAAACTCCTCGACTCAGCATCCCTCCTCGCACTGCGGTTTTCATCCAAGAGGAGACCGGCGATACCGCCGTAGCGTCGGATCTGTACCGAGGAAGTTTTGAAAACATAGGACAGGATATTGAGCGACTTGAAAAGGCCATACCTTATTGGCTTGGTGAACTTCTTTTGAAAGTAAGTTGCGCGACTGCTGATGTTAAAGATATCTTTCTGACTGAAATTTAGAACCAAATTCCTTTCAAGGAACAGGTCAAGGTTGCGTTTGTCTTGAAACCATTCGACGACTCTTTGCCTCCTGTTGTGAAGCCCGAGGTGTAGGTTTTGCATGTAATTCCCCTTCCACGAGTTTCAAAGCTGACAATATTCCCCATAGACCGACGGCAAATGGGGGACCCCCTCCTGCCAATGGAAATAACAGTTCTCGTCTGAATGCCAATCGTATGCTTCGTGCGAAGAAGGTCCTGGCTTACGTGGCTGAACGTATTGATCCTCCCAATCCGGATGAGCCCGAGGCCAACATCATGCCGCCAGAGGAATATCTTGAACTGTATTGTCAAAAGATGGTATGATCAATCTGAGTGACTTTTTTCCTCCCCAATCTCCCTTGCTGACATGACCATTTAGCTGGTGCCATCCAACATGACTCTAGCGACAATGCGAACACATCTTTGGCGCACTTCTGGCGATATGATCCTTCACTACAAAACAAACGGCAAGAAAGAGATCCGACCGCCGCCATCGTTGATGGGCAACACTGAAAGTCACGTCGCGACGGGTGGCCCCACCACCCCCAACGTCACAAACGGCGAGACAACGGCCCCTCCCGGTAGCATCCATTCGATGACCAATTCTGGTTCGGTCTCTGGCTCGATTGCTACCTAAAGGTGGGCCAACTGTCACGGTTATGTACATATTGAACGTATTTGTGTCTTCGTCCTTTTTTTTCCTTTCTCCCGCTTTGTTTTCTCTCTTTCCGCGTACATGCCAAGCAGTCTTGCTAGACTGGACTGCTAGCGACGATTTGTGTGGCTATCTCTTTTTCGAACAAACAAGCGAGGCATGCAGGTATGCAGCCATGAGTACATATGTGGAGGAGATATTCTCTGATTCCCCTTGCTGCTTTTGTTGTTGTTGTTTTTTCTTATCGCCTCCAAATGACATGTTCCTTTGATGCTAGCATCGCGCTGCGTATGGTAGACCTTCAAAAGTACCCTGCAGCTGGCATAAATTCCAAGGTATGTTCGCGCGACCTGATCTGACCTCAGAGTACGTTTTCAGTCAGTGAACCCCTGGGGAAGGAAATTGTAAATCTGACCAACTTCCACCTGAAGATGACTGCGATTTCTAGATTTTCCTAATTGCGTTAGTGGATGGAACAACAGCTTTCTAAGCCTCGTCAAATGGGCGTATCCCATCAGCCAATGCCAGATCAAGAAAATGCGATAATCCGGGGTCCCAACAGAACTCGCATCACCTGGTAGGCGGCCTGATCCGAGTCCCTTTTATGCCTATGCCAATGTCAACGCTAATTGGGTTCTGCCGTGTGCTATGGGAGTGTGGTGCGGTCCGATGCTTGTGCGGTGTATAAATGTCGTGTCCCCTCATACGATCCAATCCTCTGCCGAGCCCCTCCCAACCCCAAATCTGCACCCTGCATCATCCCATTTGGTTTCCCTTTCCACCCCAGCATGGCAGAAAATACACCCATCAATAAAACAACCGATTATGCATTCGACTTGGGCACTTTTGGTCGTACAATTACTACCAACTCTCCTCATGCTCAAATATGGTTCGACCGAGGTTTGATCTGGGCCTACGCCTTCAACCACAAAGAAGCCGCAACATGCTTTGAAAATGCGATCGCTCAAGATGAATATTGTGCCATGGCATACTGGGGTCTGGCATATACTCTGGGTCCAAACTATAATCAACCATGGGAATTTTTTGGTGCCAACCTGGCCGAAGTTGTGAAGCGCACCTTTGACGCTTCGCGGAAAGCCCAGTCTCTCGCTGCCAACACATCACCAGTCGAGCAGGCGCTCATTACCGCGATTCAAGCACGGTACCATAGCGACCAACCTGCTAGTATGGAACAGTATGCACTTCAGAACAAAGCCTATGCAGATGCTATGGAAATCGCCTACAAAAGTTTCAGTGATGATCTGGACGTATCCGTTTTGTTCGCAGATTCTCTGACCAGTATCACTCCCTGGAAACTATGGGACTTGGTGACTGGCGAGCCCAGCCCGGGAAGCAGAACTCTAGAAGCAAAGAGTGTGCTTGAAAAGGCGTTGAAACAGCAGGCTGCCTTTCAACATCCTGGCCTATTACACCTTTATATTCATCTTATTGAAATGTCGCCCACGCCCGAACTGGGACTTGTGCCAGCAGACCACCTGCGAGACTTGATTCCAGAATCGGGACATATGCGCCACATGCCCTCGCATCTGGATGTGTTAGTGGGCGACTATCGCGCTGCCATCCGCGCCAATCTGAATGCCTGCGTTGCTGATGAAAAGTATATCAAGGAAGAAGGCGTTTTTAACTTTTATTCCGTTTATCGCATGCACAACTACCACTCTCTTATTTATGCGGCAATGTTTGCGGGCCAGAAGGATGTCTCTTTGGACGCTGTGAACCGCATGGAAGCGACCCTCCCAGAAGAGCTTCTCATCACAATGGCCGACTATATGGAAATTTTCATGTCAGTTCGCTTGCACGTCATGGTCCGCTTTGGTATGTGGGAAGAAATTATCCAGCGATCGCTCCCAAGTGACCCAGTACTATATTCCGTCACCACTGCAATCACCCACTATGCTAAGGGTGTAGCATACGCAGCAACGAACAGGGTCTCCGAGGCTCTAGCCGAACGTGAGCTCTACCGTGCAGCCGAGAAACGCGTTCCGGAAACGCGCCTCGACTGGCCCAATAAATGCGTGGATATCTTAGGTGTTGCTTCGGCCATGTTAGATGGAGAGATCGAGTACCGACGCGGTAACTACAACGAGGCATTCGAACATCTTCGCCGTTCTATCGAGGTAGATGACGGACTGGGGTACAGCGAACCGTGGAGCTGGATGCAACCCGCGCGCCATGCATATGCAGCCCTCCTATTGGAGCAAGGGCACGTGGAGGATGCGGCAAATGTATACCGTGCAGATCTGGGTCTTGATAACTCCGTCATGCGTTCGCGTCAGCACCCGAATAACGTGTGGGCTTTGCAAGGGTACCATGAGTGTTTGGTTCGATTGGGTCGTACGGCTGAGGCACAGGTTATTGAGCCACAGTTGAAGATTGCTGTTGCCGTGGCCGATGTTCCCGTGCAGTCTTCTTGCTTCTGTCGAACTGATATTTCTAAGGCGCCGGAGGTTGCTACCGGCTGCTCGAAAGGTGGCTGCTGTTGATTGAAGACGTGTCTAATCGTTATTTTCCGGTAAATAATATAGTTACGCTAGTTAGAATATAGCATTTGAAGTTAGGCTGCTTGAGGTGGTGAATGATATCCAGGGATCCGATCGTTGACCCTCACTTTGATCTTCATGAAGTTTGTTTTCTGCGTTGAATTAGATCGACAGGTGGAAGCTGATATCTAGGTATCCATAGAAATTCAACTTCTAATACAATGGAAGTCCCTCATTATATTAACCTTGGAATTCAGTTGTCCCCTCGCATCTACAAAGAGGCCGTCTATGAAGTTGTCCTAGCTTTTGAACGGAGTCAAGAAATAGTGGTCATGGGTAACCTGAGGAATTTTTGATGAAGCGGTGGAGTGATAAAGAGGCTTAGTTCTCCATAGTAGAAGGTATGGAGTATATAGACCTTCCAAGGTTGAAGGTGTGGAGGGTTTTCAAGTTGTGGGAGGTGCGGAGGATCTAAACAACCTGGTTACATCAAATAACAACAAGATTAGTACCATTTAACGAAATAACCAAGCGGTAAGAATGCAATAATAAGAGGACTCGGTTGAATACAGTGTGTTAGATTGAAGGCTCAAAAATTCATAAGATAAACTATTTATGCTGTTTAGTAGGATGGGGATAGGCCTTCATTATTGTTGGAGGCCCCGGGACAAGTACTAGCCACTAGTACCATTGAATTGCCAGCCCTATATGAAAAGTGATATTTCACTGCGATTGGAACACTTCTTTAACGAATACACTAAATTCACTAAGAATGGGGGTCAATCATACATAACCTTGAAAAGCAGGATGTTTTCAAAGGCCGAGTTCACGAATAATGAAGGTACATTTCGGCGTTTGAAACAACAAAAGCCGAACACTCCACCTCCTGCAGAAGGCTTGCCGGCTACTTTTTTCCTTTGCACTACACAGAGTGGGGTGAATAGAGCCACTCATCTATTTGATTTTTACTTCACTGTCTACTCTTCGATAGCAATTGAGTTTATGGCTAGTCTTTGCTGTCGTCGTCCTGAGATCACGTGTTTGGTGACGTTTCACCCGCCGAAACGCGGTCACCACCTTCACCTCCAGATAAAATCATCCAAATGCCTAAAATTACGAAACCGCCTGTAAAGGCTGCCTGCCTGGCATGGTAATAATCCACTCTGAAATGGGAGGGTGCAATTGCTAAAATCCTATGTATAGCCGTTCGTCCAAGACTCGCTGTGACGGCCAACAGCCCTGTAAAAGTGTACGTTTTGGGATTTCTTTCTTTACTTGGAAACATGGCTAATGGTATCCTTTTCAAATAAGTGTGCCGGCAAGGAACGTATTTGTAGTTATCAACCTAGTCGCCGGGGCGGTCCACGCCGTGGCTTTCGTTACGAAGAAGCACAACGGCATCGTTCTAACGATGACCCACCATCACAATGTTCACCTTCAGGAATGATGGACAATTTCGGTGAGTCCAGTAATTATCATTCCACCCAGTAGTTGAGCTTACCCTTGATTGTATTAACTTCTGAATTAACCAATTATCAGAGCCCTTTCTAGAAAATATGATGGGATTAGTCTCTCCCTTTGCTGGAGTTCATAACCTTGACTTATCTCCAGAATCTTCTTCCGATGCAACTGGAAACCGACAAATCTGGGGTCTACCAACTCCAAGTGACGGGCCGTTTGCTCCATCATCGATTTCGGATATAGAAATTGCTTCTGTTCGAGCCTATCGAAGCGAAGCTGAGATGTAAGTTGAGAAATCAAATGAAGTGTTTCGTGGTAATTAATTGACCTATGAACCTTGGAAGTGCCAATGCCTATTATATCTACATTCACCCATATCTCCCGCTTCTACCCTCTTCGGTTGTTCCGCACCATGAAGATCAGCCGAGCGTCTTTCAGCCTCCAGGGGAATCTACAGAGCCCAGGAAGGCCGACCTTCCATACTGGCCGGAGTCTTCCTTGGCTCTTGCTCTATCCGCAATACTAGTCCTGATTCCTCCATCCCAACATCTGAGTCAAATTGAAGAACCCAATTTCGCACTCAGAAGATCCTATGCACAGCTGTTCGCCCAATCAGCGCTTATCAACGTTGAGAAGGAAATTGACGACTTGGGCCCATCGTCAAGATTTCACCTCGAGAACACGATGTTTCGGAGCTCTTCGCTTCATCCTGATCTACCAATTCAGCTTGATCCTATTCTAGCGCTCGTTGTCCTTGCCATTTACGAGTACGTTCAGCGTGGCAACGTATCGCGGATGCGAGCCCGTATAAACCAAGCTGTGACAACAGCTATGGATATCTCTCTTCATGCGCTCGGTGAAACTACAAATGAGTCTTCAGAGGCCCAAAGAAGGGCCTGGTGGATAGCCGTGAGCTTTGATTGATCCATACAACCCTAAATTGCGCTAACATATCTACTAGATGTTTGTTGCCTACCTGTCCTCCAACGTTCATCTTGCCGTGAGTTGATATCTCATGGCCTACTGGTAAATTGAAGGATCTCCGACTAACTTGATTGTAGCCACCAGTTATAGCCTCAGACGATGCACGAATAACAACACCCTATCCCCGCTTCGATGTACATCTAGAGGTGAGCATGTTCTTCCAATCCTATATATACATTTGACTGATATGTAATAAGCCCTGGAATCTTATGATCCTGGCGCAGAAGACACTTTTTGCCACTCATCAAATGGCTCAGAAGATCGAGAGCTCGGTCGACTCTGCTCGTCCAGCTGATATTGGAACACAAATCAAACAGCTGGATTCAACTATTGTGTCTGTGATGACTGAGTCAGATCGCTATCTTCGAACACATTTTGGTACCGAATATGAAGAGCCGATTGCGGAAAACATGTGGAGAGTCAGTCGAATCCTCATCTACACGTAAGTTTACTCGTCTCATTATCGTTGAATGCTATATTAATTACTCATTCAAATTCAGCGCTCGTATTCGCCTTCATCGTTTCAGAGCCTTCATGGATATCCCATTATTCTTGGACAAATACTGCGATCTCGCGTCTATTAACAGCCACGGTCTTTCTTCTACGCCTTCGCCCATCTGGGTGGCTGATAGCGAGACGACCTTTCCCTTCACTGAGCAAGAGTCTTCTACCATTTGTCTTAAGGCCTCTCTCGTCGTCGCAACTTCCTTTCGCAATCTTCCTTATCCAATCATATCCAGCATGGCGCCCTGCGAAGGAGTCCCTACCCGCAACTGGCCCCATACTCTCCCATATTTCGTTTGTTGCGCAATGCAAAGTTGCTATACACTTCTGATGTTACTTCATAAAGTCCGCGCATTCCTTGCTACCGATCGTCTGAGTAGTTGCTATCATTTACTTGACAAACCCGAGCCAAAAACGGAGGTTTCAGACGCAGAGAGGTTAACAGAGGAGTTACGTCACGGTGTTAAGTCTCTTGGAATGTCTCTAAAGTCTGATATCGTTTTTGAAGGTGTCGGTGGTATGGGGCGAGAGATTGAAAGCGCATATCTGGCCGCATTTCCAGAATGCCTTGAGATCTGATCATTCTGGTCAAGATTTCTACATAACTGTATACTATGATAATATGACAATCGCTATTCCAAAAAAAGATCTTGGATTCTATCCTGACATGTCTATTTCTTCATCAAGTGCTTGTTGACCGGAGTCAACGCCTCTTGTCCGGTTAGCACTCGTTGAATGTTCTCCATAGAAAGCCTCTCGAATCCGATTTGAGTCTCAGCTGCCCCTCCAGCTGTGTGAGCGGTTAATCTATAACGCGTATACAATCAGTATGATCCACGGTGGATAGGTCAGAGGATATCGATGACACAAAACACGTACGTAACGTTTCTCATCCGAGTAAGATCTTTGTTGACGTTTGGCTCGTTCTCATGAACATCAAGCCCGCGGCGGACAGATGTCCGGACTTTAGAGCATCAACCAGAGCAGTTTCATCAACAAGTGAGCCGCGTGCGATATTGACGAATTTGGATCCCTTTTTGAATCTTGCTAGTGTTTCCTTAGTGATGAGCTTTGAACCACCGAACGGGGTTGCCAAGACAACACAGTCTGAGACGGTCAGTAGCTCGTTCAGAGTTTCACAAAACGACGCGTTGACGGCTTCTTCTTGCTCTTTCGATTTGCGATAGAGATCTTGGTAGTAGATCTTCATCCCGAAGCAGGCGTAAGCCTTGCGTGCGATCGTGCTGAAGCTTGTTAGACATATGGCTGCAGGAGAATTTGCTTCTGATTTGCATACTAGCCGATATTTCCCAATCCAATTATTCCCAGGGTTTGGGTGTTTGGGTTGTGCGCAGTAGCTGCTGTATTTTGGTGGGCCTCGAGCCAGAGCTTAGGGTCGCCAGAACGGGCACCATCCATAGACCACTGCATATTTCGAAAGACCGAGATGATATGGAAAATGGCCTGCATTAATGTTAATATTGGGATGGGACTAGGTCCGAAAATCCGAGAATTAGACGGAAGCTGTACCATGTCTGCCACGGCCTCGCTTGAAGCCTGTGCGCCATTGCAATATATGATGCCTGCATTGAAGCCACTATAAGAGAACTTATATCCAACTTGAAGAGGCCTAAAACAAACTCACCATGCTCGGCCAAAATATCGACATCCATCCAGTCATAGCCAGCACCTGCACTCCCATACACCTTCATCGACGACGGCAGAAGTGGGATCAATTCTGCATCCCATCGTCCCATTTCCCCTCCACTGTTCCAAAATGGACGGAAAACGGCCTGAAAGTCCCCCCCATTTCTTTTCTCTGAGAGCCTTCAAGAAGACCTCCCGCTGTCTTTCCTCTAGCGAGGGTCGAATCACTGTAAAATCATTGGCAATTTGAGCATATAAATCTCTATTAAACTCAATAGGATCTCCAAGGTGGAGGACGGTCGGCTTTGTAGACGCCATCAGGGTGACCAGTAAGCAAAAAATGATATTTCCAAGGTTTCAAGGTTACAAATGCTAACAAGGATTCCAAAAGCAGACAAGAAAATAAAAAACCCCTTAGTTTTGTATACATCCCTGCATCCCCTTCCCCGCACCCCACGACAACATGGTCCAAGCCTAGCTCGTGGGGGCGAGAGGGAGAGTTTGAGGTTATCCAGTCGCCATGGATGAGCCATCGGGAAGATCCCAAAGGGGCAATTAGCCGAGTCCGATACTGTAGTCCGATGGCGGGGAAGAAGTGGAGGCTTCTCCATTTGCCCCAGTTTCTGCGTGGCGGTCCCGGAGAGTTGCCGAGCCCGACATCAGCCAACGGAATTGAGGAGAGAAGCAGGCGAAAAAGCAGGAGAAGCACCCAGGCATCTTCGCCGAAGGCTGACAGTCGATCGCCAACCTCCTCAAATATTCACCATGTTTCACCAGTGGGAACAACATCCGCATCTAGACCGACGCAATCGTCCACGTACACGAAATGGCTGTCTGACCTGCCGGTAAGGGCTGACTTCTCTTTGCTCGAGGGCAATTTCTCGTGGCTAACATCCTAGCAGGCGGCGAAAGGTTCGCTGTGATGAGAAGCGGCCTGAGTGTGGGCACTGCAGTCGTTTACAACTAGATTGCTCTTGGCAGCAGGAAGATGGTCCCAGGTTTGGAATTCGAACGAAGAAAATCAGACACCGTCAAAAGCTTCAATCCGAACAGTCCCAGCCGACGATCGAGGTCGCATCAGCCTCAGTCGCAGCAAAGGAAGGTCAAGGAACTTTACCGGCGGATGACTCGTCTTTTAATCAAATCTTCAACTATGCGAGTTTCATGTGGGATGACTATCCGCCCAGTCTCTCCCCAACCTGGGATACTCTCGATCTGAGCTCGTCGCAGGATCTTATCCCATGGTCCGATACATCTCTTGCGGTACCATCTCCACTGGATCTACATTTCCCTACTTCGATCGTGAGTTCCACGACGCTGATGGAACGACCCTCTAAAACAACAATCCCCTCGCCGATGGGCTCATCGCATGTCGCAATGGGATGGAGCGAGTCTCAGCTGGCTGATTATTTTGCTCGCTCTGCTGCACCTCCAATTCTTGCAACTGTGGAGACCAGTTCACGCTGGCTTTGGATGCGAAAAGAGCTAACATCAATGACCTCATCCTCCCGGATGGTCAAATATGGTGTGATCGCATTCGTGGCTCTGGAACTCGAGTCATCGGGCACACTGGAGCCTTCGACCTATACTCAATACTATCAGACTGCGAAAGCGAAACTACAGGAGTGTCTCAGAGACATCTGCCAGGATCGGAAAATAATCCTATCTCAGCTACGACATATTCTGGCCGTCCTTTTCCTGCTGTCATACATCGATCTACTTACAAAGGATGTGTCAAATGCGCATGCCAATTTACGAGAAGGCTTCAATACCCTGCAGATGGTGGAGATGGAATCCCTCAGTGTCACTGGTAATGAGATGTCGCAACCCCAACTTTTATTTTCAATTACTGATATCTTTCTCGTTTAGAAAAGCGCCTACTTTCTTGGTTACGACTTTTGGATGCGCGTGCAGTCAGTGCTGGGGGCGAGGGCCTGTTTTTGACAGAAGAAGACAGTGCCATTAACACTGATCTCCGATCCCCTGATAGCGCCATTACAGAGATCGATTCCGGCCTAGACGACGCGGAGGCGGCACTGGAAGATTATATCATGCGACCCGCTTTCTTCTTCTTCCAGAAGGTTCAACTGTTCATGGGTCGAATATCAAAAATTGACCCTTGGCATCGACGCCGCGGCACGGTTGAAGATGAAACAGAGGTAATGTTGATATCTGCTGCCATAAGTCGAGACATCAAATCGCTTTGGCTGCAACGACCACCTCTCATGGACCATGCCGTTGCTGGAACTCTCGCACCGCTTCTGTCCCCTGCACTGGCCGAGACCATTACACGAACCATGAGGGTGTATCATGCAAATTACTACGCCAGCTTCATTCACTTGCACCGAGTTTCATATAAGAGTAAGGATTTATCTTATATTTTTGATTCCTTAAATCTAACGATGACCCTAGATCTCCCACGAACAACTGATGTTCTCGATGCTATGGATGAAATCCGTGAAGTGACGCGACTCATTCTGAATACCCCATGGACATATTCTCCTCCGGACACCTCAGTAGTTAGCTCACCAACCAATTCGACAGGGGTCGGCGCTTGCCTACCAGTGAATATGCTATGGCCTTTATTAATGCTGGGTGTCGAAAGTGAGGACGCCGAGGAACGGGCTTGGATTATCTCTTGCATAAAAGGGATGGAGAAAGTTGCCTCCAATGCAAGAATGACAGCCGAGGTACTTACTGAAGTCATCCGGCAACAAGATGAAACGAAGCAGAGGATGGACATTCGAAAAGTGATGCACGATACATTTGATCGGGTCTTTGCTATTGTATAAAAAGGTATTCTACGTATAATTATCCAATGCGGTCTATGAACGTCATGGTTTTCGTTTCAAGTTCAAAGTCCCTTCTCGATAGCTTCCAGTCCCTTTACTTGCTTGGTGATCCAAGCTCGCTTCTCCTCGTCAAGAAACTTAGGATAAGGTCGACGGCACCAAGCACTCTCCTCTGGGTAACCCAGATATTTGGCGACAACCCACTTTGTGCCGTTGATACCACCCTTGCCAAGTCCCCATTCGACAACAGCTAGTTGAATTTGTAGCTTCTCAGCCTCTGGTGTTTTCCCAGAGTTATACAAGTCGAAAATCTCCATGCATGCCTATTCAACAATGATCAGCAAATTAGCGTCTTGGGTGCTTGGGGTTAATAATCACCTTTGGGTACAGGTTAGCGAGTCCTGTAACGGATCCAGCACCACCAACACTCAGGCAGGGAACCAACCAGTCGCTTTGACCTGCAAGAGCGACGAATTTTGGGTTGTCAATAGCCCGGCCGAACTTGGCGGCCGATCTAGCGACCGAGGCAATTGTTCCGCAGGTCAACTTCACGGCAACGATATTCGGGTGTTCGCCCAGGGTCTCGAGCATCTCTGAGGTGACGTTGAGGCCGGCAGCCACGCCAGGGAAATTATAAATCATGACAGGAATGGGCGATGCCGAAGCTACCTCCTCGAAGAATCCCACAATGGCGGCCGCGTCAAGAGCGAAATGGAAATATGATGGCACAAGAACAAGCGCATAATCGGCGCCTGCATCGGCAGCCAACTTCGTGTCTTCAATGATTGCCTGTGTAGATCCGCCAAAAGTGCCACAGGTAATTGGCAGGCTGGGCCGGTCGAGTTTCTGGGCAGTGGACCGAGTGAGGGACACAAGCTTGGATTTTTCCGCCTGTGTCAAGGTGGCAGCTTCGCCATTTGTGCCAGCGATCACAATACCGTGGATTCCGCTGCGAACAAGAAATTCAAGGTGTTTCTCTTGAAGCTCCCAGTCGATGGATTGTGTGCTGTCCGGCTTAAACCACGTCAGGCAAGGGACGTGAATGCCGGGGGGATACGGTGATTGAATGGAGCCCATCTTGATAATCGTAACTTGTATGAGAAATTATTCCTGTTAATTGACTGAATAGCGAGAATTTACGATGTTCATAATATATAGGAACCACTATGGAGTATTCATCCCACTACTTCGATTCACGACCCGACCCGACCATCGGTGATTCCCAAAAGGGAAATCAGCCGAGGGGCCCTTTTACCACTAACCTATTCAATTAGTGAATCTTGGAATACCGGTTATGAATCAAGAGAATAGCAGGAGAATGCGTCGAAATGCAAACAAAATCCAGGAGTATAATAGTACTAGCTCGTTTCCAAGTATGCATGTGTTCAATGGGTAATTCTTAGCCAACTTACCTAGGTAGCCTAATTGTATATTCAAGTTTCAACCTTGGAAATTGACTAACAGTATCCAAATTCTGGCCTCTTTGAATGCCCGAACTAGAACTTGAACTTGGACTTGAACAGCCTTGCTCGTTCTAAAACCAGCATATTGGAATTTTGGTGCCATCCAATATCATCGTAAGTCAACACATACCTAAGTGAACAGAAAACGTTGATATGCGAGACCAAGGAGTCACTGCATGGTTTAATGAACCGTCTATTATAGTGTTCATTTCTTGCCACAAGAACAAAAAGAATCCACCTGAATCAAGTATAGGGTATGTAGAACACAAATTTTAGATATTTTCCCCCTACGACGGCAAAGAAGGATTTGAAAGATGGAATTCATCTCAAGTACTAGTAGCTTTACCACACCCGTCTTGATTCTTGATTCGATGCAACTATAACTTTAAATGAATATTTTCTTTCTCCGGCATATACCATCTCTCATTTTAAGGGAATGTAATCGAATAAAAATATATAAACATGAAACTAAATATGGTTACCTAGGTATGAAAAAGCTATATAAATCACGTGATTCGGGAAGCCGACCGGCCGCCCTTTTGACCGCATCAACTGGCTGTTTCAACCAACCTGCCTCCATGTCGAAAATCATCAGCCCAGCTCTTTTTGCCGAGCATTTTCGACGAGCATGGCTTGGCGCCCGGGGCACACTTCGCTATGACCGTAGAGATCAAAATGACCTCATCCAATTGCCGCACAGGATCGGTATGATCTGCCTTCAATCCCTGGAGGAATACAGTACATAGCTCGGAGTACTAATATCTTTGCAGGCCTTGCCGTCAGTGGCGGCGCTGACTCTATGTGCTTGGCATATCTTTGCCAGAAGTTAGAGCAACTTGGTGTCCATGGAAGCATATCAGTCACCGCATTTGTGGTTGACCACAAGGCCCGCCAAGAAAGTAATCACGAAGCAAAGACTGTGGCAGGTTGGCTACGGGATATGGGTATGTATCATATCTTTCATTTCATTTCCCTGTATCTGCGGGGTAGAATGAATTGATTCTTCAATCCTTCAAATCATCATACTGATATCAATTAGGCTTGGAAACGGAGATTCTAGAGTTAGACTGGTCTCCGTCATTGGATAGCCGGGAGAAGCCCAAGGAAAGTGATTCAAAGGCTGCAATGCCAACCGCCTTTGAGACTCATGCTCGTCGATTGCGATTTCAGGCGCTTGGGAAAGCCTGTCGGGATCGCGAAATCGAAACCCTGCTTCTAGGTCACCACCAGGATGATACCGTGGAGACCACCATTTGGCGGTTAAGCACTGGCATGCGAGGTGCAGGTCTTGCCGGTATCCAGGGAATAGCAAGAATCCCAGAATGCCGGGGTCTCTTTGGAGTTTCCGAGAGTGGATCTTCCATCGTCCTTCCCGGAAGGCAACGCAATACCTCTGTTGAAGCGCAGGTTCGTGTAAACAATAAGGCCAGTGCGACAGTGACATTCGTTCCCAACAGCAATAATCAAAAGCACAAGTCCCCTAAAGGGAAGCCGGTGGCCCCCACAGAAGTTTCTGTTGCAACCGGAGGCGTTTATCTCTGTCGGCCCTTTCTCGGATTCCCCAAGAAAAACATCCTCGAAACCTGCCGCACATTCAAAATCCCTTATGTCTCTGACCCTACCAATTTCGACCCTACCCTGACTCCGCGCAACGCCGTTCGCAGCTTAATTAGCTCCGGTACCCTCCCTCGCGCATTACAATCACCCTCAATCCTCTCCCTTATCAAAGCAAGCGACGATATCCTTCAAACCTCAAATCAACTTGCGGATCAATTACTTTCATCAAAATGCCGGATCATAGATCTCAATCTCAAGTCCGGGATGCTGGTTGCACAGTTCCTCGAACTCCCACCGTTCCTGGACTCATTTCGATCAAACTTATCTGATAATCGAGCCAGAGAGATCGAATGCCTTGCCCTTCGTCGCATCACGGAGCTAATCTCCCCTTGCCCCGCAAATCAATTCTCATTGCGAAGTTTCGAACCCTTCGTTTCTAGGGTCTTCTCGCCAAATGACGATCAACCAAGGCACGCCTTCACTTTAGGAGGGGTCAAATTCATGCCGTTGGACGTGACACCTAGCCCGCCCTCCTCAAGCCCGGCAACCACTCAAGGACTAAACCCCGGAAAGGGCAGTTTATGGCTACTCTCGCGCCAACCATTTTTCAAGAACCGGGCTCCAGTCACACACCTAGAATTGCCTGCTCATTCTTCCACCCCAACCCGGACCAAGCCCTCCCGAACAGAATGGACACTGTGGGACGATCGATTCTGGTTCAGGGTCTCGCTCTTTTTGAATAAGACGAAAATGGACGACCCCACGAAACCAGTTTCATTTGTATTGAGGCCATTGAGAACAGACGACTTGCAGCAAGTCTGCAAGAATGTCGGCCCTGGGAAGGCCGCCTCAATTGGCGGACATTTACAAAAGCAGCTTCTGGGGGACGCTCCTGGCGATGTGCGATATACAGTCCCGGTTCTTGCAGTGAAATTCCCGTCCAAATCCGGTTCGAAAAGTGGCGAAGAGGAAGCCGAGCACCTATTAGCCTTGCCAACATTTGATCTGCTACTTTCTGGTCGAAAACCGCCAGCAGACCGTCTCAACGAGATGGGATTTCAACATGACAGTACGATTTGGACAGTGAGATGGGAGTGGATGTACAAAGAGATTGACACTGAAACAGTGCGCCTTATGGGCGGGCCACTGAAAGCTGAAGATAAGATAGTCGGCTAATGTACAGTAATAGTAATAATAATAGTTGTATCATCTGAACAAAGAGAAAGCCCTGTAAACATGATCACCGGTGCTATGCATGGTTCAGAGCCATATGTGCGTACATGGCATGGGACTCAAAAATGACAAGAAAGGAAAGAAAGTAAACCCCGGTAGTGGGAATCAGAAGACTTGGCGCAGATAGGCTCAAGAAATAAACAAAAGAAAGGCAGTCAGCATGGTATCAGGATGAGTAGAGGGACTGAAAAAGGAAAGGTAATGATGAAGACGCGGTGTGAAGGCTGTGTATCGCCGACAGATTCCACCACAATGACTACTCGCTCGCTTTGAGCAATGCGGCCCCTGCTTGCTGGGCTCGAAGTCCGCCGACTTCCCTCTTGAGACGCAGGTTCTCTTTCTTGAGCCGGCCAATTTCTTCCATCGCGATCTCAAGCTGGGATTGCAAAGCCCCTTCTCCGTTGCCGGCTCGAACTTCCTTGGCGATTTTGCTGAGTTCTGAATTGAATCGACCATACAGTGCCTCATTTTCGGCACTAGCCTCTCGATAAAGTTCATCCAGTTTCTTCACGCGCCTCTCACTGAGTGCCAAAGATGACTCAAGATCTCTTTCAAGGGCAGAAATGCGGCCGTTGTATTCACCGGTAAAGTTCTCGAATCGCCCCTCAAGGCTCCGCAGACGAGCCTCGAGTAACGATCGTGCGCTCGAAGGTCTCGAGGAATCTAAACTTCCTATAGTTCGTTCCGGACTAGATTGTTTGGCAGGGCTAAGCCTCAGAGTCTGTAACTCATCGCCAAGTGCCCGCA